CCATGCACGGAAGGGTCATGGGTTCGATTCCTGATCAAGGATGTATACCTGGGTTGCAGGTTTGATTCCCAGCCCAGTGGGTATGTCCATATAGGAAAAAAACCCTAGTATGCTATATATAGGGTTCAGTACTCTCTGCGGATTCAGGCATCCACTGGGAATCTTGGGATGTGTCCCCTGTGGATTAAGGGGGACGACTGTACTATGAGTTCAGGGTTTTCTGGGTGCTGCTTACTGTAGGTTAGCTTTGGACATTACTGTCAGTGTACCAGCTGCTAATAGCTGCCTCCTCCCCATAACCTGTCTGATGAGCCCAATATACTCTGGGCATAGAAACCAGACATCACGTTTTATTAGCCTTTGGTACAAAATAAGACCAAATAGACCGAGCGAGACTGAGACTCTCCTATAAACACAGCTAAAGGGCACGGGTTTTGCGGCAGCTCTGGAGGAAACAATACGACTTTGTGTTTTTGGCTTATTTGTGATTCTCCCTTACATTCCAGATTGAGATTTCTAAATGGAGGCTCCTCGTAGAACTGATTTCGTATTCTGTATGTTTCTCTTTGTTTTAAGAGGAGTATGGAATTAATATAGCATTTTCATTAATCCTCGTGGTCAATGTATTGATTCTCTGCAGCTGAGTTAATTTGAGATGTTAGGAACATTTTTGTTTTTTCTGAAACAAAAAATTGAGCGAGGTCACTTCTAGGCAGCTGTGAACGTGGGCTGGTAAAACTGTGCCTTTCACTCAAGTCGGAAGCTCTGGTCCACATGCCCTACGGCACGTTGCCTCCAGCCCTGGACAAACCAAAGGCAAGGCTTAGGCCGAGTTCAGCTTGGTAACATTCTCAGATAGAACGAAGGGGCTCCTGAGACAAGTGGGGTTGGGGTGGTGTATGGTTGGGGGCAATCTCCTTAGATTGGGGGGTTGCTTCTGGAGCAGGCCACGTCTGGAGCAGGCCACAACTGGAGCAGGCCAGTCAGAAAGGTGCAGGCTGTGGGGGACATTGTGTGGCGGGAGCTTCTGCCCTTTCCCTGCACAGAGGTAACCGATCTCTCTGGGCTCCACAGTCCAGCGGGCGGTGGAAGGACATTCATCCCGTATTCAGATGTTGGATTATTCGTAAGTGCTCTGAACTAAGACAAATTGCTCGGCTGGAGTTGACTAGTAAAAAATGGCAGAAATGGTGCAAAATGAGGCCCCAGAGAGAGAGGTAGGGCCTGTACCACCCTGCGTCTCACAGGCAAGTTTTAGGGTTTTGGTTGTCATTCCCAGAGCTTGGAGAGGTAACGGGATCATCTCTGTGGCTTTGAGTAATCGTTTTCCTTTTCGGAGCCTCAGTTGCTCCACGAGATGCGAGGAGGGTGAGTCAGTCACCAGTGTGTTTTCTACGGACGCCCTGTTATACCCTCTGCGTGGGCCCTTGCCTTGCACCCCCGCCATTGACCAAGGGGTTAACTTACACTGAGAATGCTTGTGTGGGAGTGAATTTAATCTGACCAGTGCATTCCTGAAGCCCTGTTTTCATTCATCTGCGTTCCAAGGGGGTTGTCATTAGTTGCTCCAAGGAGGGAGGTCACAGAATTACAGACTCTGACGCCCAGAGGTTCCTTGATACCATCTACTCTGCTCTTTGGCTTTTAAGGCCAGATCCATTTTGCAGAAGCAGCTGCTGAAGCCTTCTGCGGCCCTGCTACTTGCCCCGGGTGACAAAGCGTCCAAACCTGTAGAGAATTTTTACGAGAATTTATTTGAGCCAAACTGATGACAGTTGCTGGGAAGCAAGATCTTAAGTGCTGCAGAGAAGGGTGGAAGGTGGGGAAGAATACGTGAGGGCGGGAGAGAGCCAGGCGGGACTGGGTTCAGGAGGGCTAAGGTTCTGTGCTCTCTTGAGCGTGGTTTCACTTATTTCCAAGGTATGTTAACCTAGATGCACAGAGACAATGGACAGGGCTTGCTTAAGGCAAAGATAAACCTTTTACTAAAGAAGTTACAGGCCTGGGGCATGTGTTCTGCCAAGACCTGCCCCAATGAGGGATTTATGGTCAGATCACCCTGTGGGGTTACTTTCCATAACCCCCTTTCCACCCACAATATGATGTACGCGTTATATATGATAATATATAATAGTCTATAATATATACAACGGCCAGAAAGGTAACGTGATACGATATAATATAAATAGCACAGATAATATAGTATAATACCAGGAAAGAGCTTTAGAAGCTGTCTGATCCGGCAGCCTCATTTGATTGATAAGGGTGTGGAGTCCCAGACAGGCTGAGACACCCGTCCAGGGACACTGAGCGATGCAGTTGGGACTGGACCCCGTTGCTTCCAGTGGTCTGTATTTTTCCATCAGATTCTCTGTGATGGATGTGGGGCTGGGGGTCCTTCTTAGACGTGCGAGCGGTGTGTAGTCTCTCTTCCCAGGAGGCCGACGTCAGTGTGACTGTGGTTTATTATACTGTGAGGGCTCGCGCAAAAACCCAGACTGTACTTTGATCTTAGATTAGTGTTTGCTGAGCAATTTCAGCCTTTTTGAAACTTGACTATTCTGAGTTTCAGCCATGTATAGGAGCTTTATCATTTGACCGGAGGGGTACGGGTAATCCTCCAGTGATAGGGAAAGTATTTGGTGGTGCCTGTAGGCCAGAGGCCTGTGCTGATTAATTTCACCCACATTTTACACACACACACACACACACACACACACACACACACACACACCATCTGTGCATTGGGGGCTCTTGCTACTTAGCATTTATTGCAATGGAGTAATATATTCACTTGTCGTCTCACTGGGTGGTGAGCCCCTTGTGGGTAAGGGAACGGCGGTCAGTAAATAACCTGAGTGAATGAGTGAATGAATGGACAGAAACTGTCAGCACGGCGGGTCAAACACTGAAGAGTTGGCATGCCTTATTTTCCATCCTATTTATAAAGCAGTTAAATTTTTTTGGTATTGTCAGCACTCTTAGATTAATATGTTAACTGGCCCCTGAGACCTATATACTTTTATTAACCAATGTCACCCCAATAAATTCAATAAAAAAATATAAATATGTTAACTGGTACTGCCTTGCTCAGAGTCGGTGGTCGTAAATTTTGTTGAATGAATGAGCATTACTTGGAATGTAGCTTGTCTTTTGGCTGAGGAGTTGAAAATGTTCAGATGAAACTTCTGATACGTAAAATAAGGCCCTACAGTGCTTTAAGCAGTGATTCCTTTGGGAGTGGACCCACTTAAATTAGAGTTTGTTCAACAAAACCAATGTGGAGTCAACTAGGTGAGGGACGTTTGTTCGTCCATTCGTGTGGAGGGGAGGTGGAGGGAACTCTGAGATAATAAAGTAATAAATCCACAGCTTTCTTGGTCAAATGAGACCAGAAGTAGAAGTGGAAAAGGAAGGGAACATAGGGTAGCAGCTTATTTGATGTATGAAAATTAAATTAATGTTGATTTGTTGCCCTACTGGGATTGGGGGGTTTCATGCCTGAGTCACCAGGGGAAGCTAAATGTCCAGTCTGGAGGGGCCGACTGGAAGGGAAGATGGGTTGAGTGTTAGACATTCTGAGTTCCAGGTGTTGTGGGTGGGTGCCCTCTGTGTCCCCACCTGTTACTGGTGGAAGTGGAGTTTTTGGGGTGCTGTGGGAACAAGAATATCCTGAGGCCCCCACGGGAGAGCGAAGTATCGTGGAAAGCTTTACTTCCGTAGAGTTAAACCCCTGGGTTTCCAAGGTCCCATCTCCCTCCATCCCGCCGTGGAAGAAGTCGCATCATGTCCTCAGCAGAGCTAGAATTAAAGCCATTGCCCAGAGTCTTCACTCCATTTTAAAGTCCAGTCCGGTCCAGCGTCTGGTTAGCTTCGCTTGTGTTCCCAGCTGCAGTCCACTGCATGTGGGATCTGCATGGCCACAGGCCATGTGGCTTCTAGGGCCACATGGTGGGCTAGCTTGGGTGGTGGCACAAGTGAGTGCAAGGGAGCAGGAGCGAAACCAAAGGAACAAGACGGGGAGAACTCTTTGTTTCGGGTTGTAACGAGGAGCTTAACCAGCTAACACGTCAGGATTGCGTCGGCTTGCAGTGGCTGTGCCCCTCTAGCCAGTTATCTTCTTCCCAGGTTAAACTGATAGGCAGGCACCTTCCCTACGTCACCCCGACTTCATTGTGCACGCGTCCATCCCCTTTGTTTGACCCCTTCCCCTAGGGATCTGCAGGGAAGGGACGGCAGCTCCCTGGGGAGTGTAAAGTTGCAGCTCCCTGGTGAAGCTGCCCAGATGACCATGCCTGGCCTCCCCTTTGCTTGCTTCCTGTTATTAATATTAGCTAATTATGACGATAACACAGGTGGTGGGAGGACCTGTAGATGTGAGGTCGGGCAGGTAGTCGAAGACGGAAAGGACGGTTGCTGGGTGTCAGGCTAGGAGCTGTTTTTCCGCGGGGTTGTGGATGACCTTCAGACTGATGACCGTGTCCTGGAGATGTCAGGGGGTGGGGAGAGGGAGACGAGTCCGTGTGTCACACATGACCAAGAGGTCAATGAGAATGAAACAGGTCACCGGATTTATGACCTTGAGAACAGAGAGCAAGATTTGCGTGGAATAGTTGGAATTGGAACCCAGAGTCCATGAGCTTTATGACTAAGTAGGTGATAAAGAAATAAAACCAGCAAGTGTAGGCCATATACGTGTTGTGTTCCTGGGGTTCTTTCATTGCACTTTTCAGTCCTTTTACTGAAGGTCCCGGCAGGGAGAGGAAAGGGGGTGGAACTCAGCACTGTCCAATTAGTTCCCTGATGAGAGACTGGTTATGGTACCTGGAGGGCATTATTAGTAGGGTGAAACCACTAGCTATCTGGATTCCCATGAATCAGTTATGAACTGACCCTATCACTGAAGATAACTGAAAATTTGATTGCAACTTTAAGGAAAATGAGCATAAATGTTACTGAAAATTACATTTTTACTAACTATTTTTTAAAAAAAATCTCAGTTTCTATGCAGATTTTGGACCTCTGAACTTGGCGATGGTGTACAGATACTGCTGTAAACTAAACAAGAAGCTAAAAGTGAGTATTTTGATGTCTCTCTTTTGGTATTAAGGACGTGAACTGTGAGATCTGGCCAGTGGGAGCGCAGTGCACAGCTGTGAGTGAGGTAATTTTGATCTTTGGAAATTTATGTGAGCAGTTCCCGCAGAAGTTGAAATGGATCCTCCTGGGTACCCCACGAAGGACACGTTAGCCTCTTTCATGTTTCAGGATGAATTGACACATGAGCTGAATGAAGTCATTGGAATAGTGACCTAAGAAAGAAAGCACAAAACCTTTCAGGTTGCCGTGAATGAGTCGATCAAATTCCCTCCCGGGATGATTTTTCCGAAGGCCTCAGGTCTGCTCCAGACTTGGAGGGAGGGCTCTGGGTTGCTTGGCTGGAGCTCTGGAGCAGACGCTTTTCTGTCTGATCGAGATTTAAAGTTTTGCGTTTTTCTTGGAGGCCGTCCCTGGAGAGTTAACAGCCAAGTAAGAGTGCTGAGCTAGCAGTCACAGAGCATGGACTTTACCTGTTACCACAGAATCTGGGCCATGCATTCAGTATTCGTCTCTATTTTTGACTTTACACTTGGTTTTTTTTTCTCTCTCTTCAACTCTTAAGCATCTGTGAGGAAAAGGGACATCTGAATTCCTAGTTTTGGCCAACTCATTTCGTCGTGTAGAAGGAAATATTTATCTTTTTCTTCCAGTTTTCTAAATGAGGATCATAAATATGTTTCAGTTTGGAAGGTGAAGTGCTACACAGCATTCTTGCATATACTAGGATATTTATATACAGTTAAGATACAGAAGGTTTTTGAAAAATATGTTTTTTATAGGTTTTAGAGAAAGGGAGAGAGATAGAGAGAAACATTGATGTGAGAGAGAAACATCGATCGGTTGCCTCAGTACGCACCCCAACTGGGGACTGAACCTGTACCTGGAGCACGTGCCCTACCCGGGTATTGAACCAGCGACCTTCTGGTGCACAGGACGATGCTTAACCAACTGAGCCACACTGGCCAGAGCAGCAGTCTCTTACGATAACCACTAAATCAGAATGCTCGAGTAGTTTATTCTTTCTGCTGGGTAGAATGTTCCCCTTGTCCACATTAGCTGCTTAGCGATCACCTTTTGCTTTGATTTTTATTGAACTTAGGTATAAAAGACAATCGATGGTGGAGAATTTCCTGTGAGAGAATATCATATATTTATGAACTCACAGATTTTTGCCATTGAGCTCAAAATGCCAAATGGCCATGGAATGACGCCAAAGAGATTTTTAAAGTCAATATAACATAAGATCTCTTGCAATCGACTTTTTGAGTTCATTCATTCGTAAGGTACTGTCTGACTTGGAAAGATGTATGTAAATTCCTTTCACTCAGCCTGTCTTCATTTTTCAGAAAAAAAGCTATTGCCTTTAGTTTAGGAAATTAAAATTTTAGTGATCACCAAGGAAGCACATACTATCCTAACAAGGGTTTCCTGTAAAAATATAAAATGGACTTTGAATGGATGCATTAACAAGGGAAGGATGATTCATGTCTTCCTTGGGCCTAGGAATTCCTTGGCTTTCTTGACCAGTCCTGTTAGTATGTGGCTGGAATGAACTGGGTATTAATTATAATGAACAGTTTGGGACCCAGCTACTACCTGGAGTGACCAAAGGGAAAGGAATCATTATTAGGAAAAGAAAATTTCTGCCTGACTCAGTGTGCTGCTCAGAGCAATTACAAGCAGGTGGATTGCCCAGACTTTTTCTACTGCGTTCCCTACTGAACAGTGTGGGTAAGTGGATACGGGGGCTTGTTTTGATGTGTTTTCATCGACAGGGGTTTCCTTCAGCAGCATGCAAGTTTAATAGAGCTCAGCCCGTGCCTTGGCTCATTTCCGTGGCCAGGTTACTGTTGGACGCCTGGAATGACGTTGCTAGCTTTAGTGCAGTGAGGGGACTGACGTTTCTAGCTTTAGTGCAGCGAGGGGACTGCGTGGGCTCACTCACTGCTCACTGACCACGGTCCCCCGCCCGCCCCGCTCCCACCATTGCTGGTGACAGGCGGTCTGGAAGGCTCTTCCCTCGGGGTTACAGCTCCTTGTTCTTTGCGACCTGGCTCAGGCACCACCTCTTCCAGGAAGCTTCTCCCTGTCCTCTGGACTCAGGCGCCCCCCTTCTTCCCGCGGCCGTCTGCGCGGATCCCCGGACTCCCGGTTACGGTTGCGACCTGCTTGCGCCTGCCTTTCCCATTGGACCGGGGGCTCCCGGAGGGTCACCCCACCCAGAAACGCCTGCCGACCTTGGCTTAAAGCCCTGTCACCCTTCCCCACAGCCTGCCCTCGGCGCGTTTGCTTCCTCGACCCGCGCCGGGCTCTCAATCCTTTGCCATCTCACTTTTGCCTTCCTCCCTCACTGGAACAGCTCTGACGGCGTCTTTTTATTTTATTTTGTGTTTTTATCGATTTTGGAGAGAGGAAGAGAGATAGAAACATCAGTGATGAGAGAGAGTCATGGATGGGCTGCCTCCTGCACGCCCCCGACTGGGGATCGAGCCCGCAACCCGGGCCTGTGCCCCGACCAGGAATCGAACCGGCGACCCCCTGGTTCATGGATTGACCGACGCTCGGCCACTGAGGCGCGCCGGCCGGGCTCTGAGGACATCTTAAACATGTGCCTGGTGGCATGTACTTGGTCCTCATGCTCCTTTGCTCCTCTGAAAATTGGGCGTTATTTTAACCAAGAACAACTTATTTGAATTCTCATGGGTGTTCTCCTAGCTCCTTCAGGCACATTTTATTTTTTACTTTGGAAATTTTTATTTCTCCTGATAAACGTTCTTTGACTCCCTCTCCCTTTTCAGTTCATGCCTCCTGTTGATAGGTAATTTTTCACAGCGCGTACTCTTCCAAACCTGTTCCTTGTTTTTCATGTCAAGAGGTATTTTTTCAGGTTGATGATCTGAGGTGGTGATTCATTGCTGTGTGTGTGTGTGTGTGTGTGTGTAGGCATTTTACTCCCAGTGGCCTTCATTTTCATTACGTTGATTAGGAATGGAAAATTCTCCATCTGACATCTGCTTAGATTAAAAAACCAAAATATTGAAACCACCATTACCCACAAAACACCCTGTTTCTTATTTTAAACTACGCATTAAAAAGTGTAAGTGCAAGAGTTACGTGGTAATGAGTTATAGTTTGCCATCTCTGGTCAATAGTTAAAATGAAGGAGATAGTCAGAGGAAGGAAGATTTATTGATGTGAGAACTATTTGTAAAAGTGTGTATATTACTTAATGTAAAATGTCGTCAATGACCGATGGGCTAGACCAGCAAGTATTAACCTGATATTTCAAGGGATTCAAAATTCCTGAAATTATAAGTCAGATTTTGTGTGGATTGACATATTTCTTCGGAGAGGATTCACAGCTCTTCAAGTTCTGAGAAGGATCCCCGGCACAGACAAGGTTAACAGCGCCAGGCTAGGCTACAAGGGCTTGTAAAAGAGATCCCCGTACTCACAGGACACAAAGGAGTGTTACTTTAAAAAACAGAATACCTTCTTCAGACTTAATCACTTAAGAAAATCTTTGTTCCTGATTCAGTCGTCTGAAAGTTTTATAAACATGATATGGTTCAACCAGCTTTTTCTAAAGTAGTCAGTACAGTTTTAACTGTTGATTTCACTTTTCCTTAGAGAAAAAGAAAACTGTAGCCTGGGGGTGGGGTGGGATCTAAGAGTATGACTGAAAAAAAGGGGACATATTCTAGGGCAGTGATTTTAAAAAAAAATACCTGGTCTGATGAATCAACAGTTCAATTACGGTTCTCTTGAGGACTATTTTTAAAGGGCTGAAAGCATATTGACAGAAACGTAATTTTAAGTGTACAAAGGAGCCCACGGAGCCCTTTCAGGGTAAAGTGAGGAGGGGGCGGGCGCGGTGAAGCGGAGGATTGTATTAGCACAGCCGTCCCTGCGGATGGTGGGGGCTCGGGGAATGTCCCTGTTGCTGGATGAATCGGTGCCGTAATCCGACCTGGGAACCCGGCCCCCCCGGGCATCCGGAGGTTGTGCACAAGAGCTCTTTTGATATAATGATCAGACCACCCTCTTAGTATAACCACAGAAACATGTTGAGATTTCTTCACGAGGTTATCTTCTGTTTCAGGTTCATGGGCTTTGGGGGAACAAAAGCGAGCTACACCCTGCAGGCAGTTTATGTGGTTTGTAGAGGTGTTAGGGGTTCAAGGCAGTGTTAGTTCACATGGGAGGGGGCTCCCACGGAGTCTGCAAGGCCTGGGACCCTAGTGGCCAGCCACTCAGAAATCCCCAGGCAAGAAGAGCCCCTTTGGTCCGGCTGGTGTGGCTCAGCGGTTGAGCACTGACCCATGAACCAGGAGGTCACATGGTTCGATTCCCAGTCGGGGCACGTGCCCGGGTTGCGAGCTCCATCCCCAACAGGGGGCGCGCAGGAGGCAGCCGATAGATGATGTTTCTCTCTCATCGATGTTTCCATCTCTCTGTCCCTCTCATTTCCTTTCTCTGAAATCAATGAAAAACATTAAAAAAGAAGAAGAACCCCTTTTATGGAGGATCCCCAAGTGCCGTGGACCGTAGCTTCAGCCTGCTCAGAGGATCCTCACGAGCCAATTTTTCTCTGACATTTTGACTTCGGCGTTAATCAAACGGTTCTGAAACGAAATGGGCCACCCAGAGACGCCTCCTTAAGGAACCCATTTGACCTGTTTCATTGGAGCTATGAGTGAAAACATAAACTATATTTTGTTTTGTGTACAGCCAAAGAAAATTTTCAAGAATATCCCTTTCCTGGGAAAGTTGGAGGTAAACCGTGTAGCGGTCATGGCTGCTCACAGGAGGACCTGCTCATTTGATGGCTTCTGCACTGAGCTGACCGCTATTGCTATGGAGACGCTGATGGCTGTGGCCGTGGCTGGGCTGGCCTAGTCACCTGTCAGAGAATGAGGCCTTGGCCACCGGGTCCCTGGGCTGCAAATCCACTTAATCCGACCACTGTCACCGGC